CAAACCACCAAGCAGGGACCGGGGAGAGAGAGGCCCTGCCTGCCCTTCGAGAGGCTGCGCACAGGGCTGTGGTCGGGAGGAGGCCAGAGAGACTGCTGGGGCCTCTGTAAGCCAGTCCAGGAGCTCAGTCTTTAGACGGGGATGGACACCTTAGAAGGGTGGTAGGCGGAGCGGTGACATGGCGAAGAGGCCTCTCTGGCCGCTGGAGGGAGGCCAGAGAGGGAGTTGGCTGTTGCTGATGTTTGGATGAGTAATGATGGAGATGTGGACAGGGCAGGTGGTGGTCACGGTGGAAGGAAGTAAAGCCATTTAGAAAGTACACTTGACGGTTTGTAATGTGGCAAGTTCAGAAGGAAGGAAGGAATTGGTTACTGGTTAGAGGGCGATGCCACTGGCTGAGATGGGGAAGTGGGGGAGAGAAGCCCATTTGGAAGATTGTTAACCTCGTAAACAGCTTGTGTTTGAAATTCCTAAACTGGGACCCACTGAGTTTTCTCTCAGGAATTCCGATCCTTAGCAGACTGATTGCAGAGCAGAAAAAACAACTAGAGTTGAGCTAGATCGCCTGGGCACAGAATGAGTCCTTGCCTATCTATTGAGGAGTCTGCTGCCTGGGCCATACACCCTCCTCAAGCTGCCACCTTCCTGTCCCTTCCCACCTGTGAGCCACCCTGCATACTTGCTTAGACTGCCCAGAAAAACATGAATCAGGAATAACGCAATGAAGGCGGCTTCAGGAGGAGACGTTTACCAGGCTGAGGAAGGGCACAGGATTCCGGGCAGACGGTTCAGTGAAGGAAAGGCCAACTTTAGTGGAGAGTATGTTGGGCTCAGGGTTCTTGGGGAGTCACAGGGGAGGCTCAGAGATCAGTTGGGCTGGGATGTGAGGGGCCTGGAGTACCCTGCCCAGCAGAGGGAGGTGGACTGTCTCAAACACCCTGTAGAACCCAGGCCCAGGATGGGCTCTCAGGACACCCAGAGATGCCAGTGTGATCTGCCCATGCCCTTGTGCTTCTGAAACTGGTAACTGTTCACCAAATGTTTCCTTTATATCCCGGGCACGCAGCTAGACTGTATTTCCCAGCCTCCCTTGCAATGTGAGTCCTGGTTAGAGGGATGTAGATGGAAGTGCTTTGTGTCACCCAGGCCAGGTCCATAAAAGCCTCCCATGAGTGATCCTCTGTCTTGCCCTATATACCTGCTAGAGGTTGAGCCCAAGGCAACTTGGGAGTGACCTGAGGAAGTCAGGGAGGGCTCTGTCAGCACATGCCTTTGAATAATGTCTGGAGCAGAGTCTGTCTCAGCCAACTGAGCAGGAATTAAACTTCTATTGAGATTTCAGGGTGTATCTGTTGTGACTAGCCTTAACTAGTACAGATCTGCAAAACCATGGGGCACAAGGAGCTTGTTTGGGTCTGATGGGTGCTCACCAGAGGTTTATACCCTAGTTGTGCACAGTGGTTTCTCGTATTTTAACCCAGAACAGGTCAGATAACTTTGGCTGAATTTTAACATTAATTAAAAGCCAGCTGATAAAAACTCTGCTCACTGCTGCTCTCCCAGGGCTGGGCAAGCTGATGTGCCCAGAAGCCCACCCAAATGGACACTTCCCCAGGGTAGGTTACACAGGCACCGGAGAGGCAGAGGTCTGGGAACAAAGCTCTGCTATGGAAGGTAACATTTTGTGAGCACAGGTGTACTTTTATAAACCTCTCAGGGAGACTCCCAAGAGGTTAGGAGCCACTGCCCTGGGGTCCTCCCATGCGCTTTCAGGGTTTTAACTTCCTTCAAAGCTGTTATCAGGAGCCTAGATCTTAGCTTTTTTTTTTTTTATTTTTTTTATTTTTTTTTTGCTGTATGCAATTTCATTGTATGTCTATATCTTTTTTTTTTATTCTTTTTTAAAAAAATATTATAATAAGTATTACAAAGGGTATTACATATGTGTCCTTCCCCCCCCACCCCGCCCTTGATAGTCCCCTGCCCTCCCTTACCCCCCAGTGTCTTATGTCCATTAGTTATGCTTATATGCATGCATACAAGTCCTTCGGTTGATCTCTTACTCCCCTCCCTTCTGCCCCCCAACCCTCTCTGGCCTTCCCACTGCAGTTTGACAATCAGTTTGAGGCAGCTCTGCCTCTGTATCTATTATTGTTCAAAAGTTTGTAATGGTCTTTATTATCCATGAATGAGTGAGATCATGTGGTATTTTTCCTTCATTGACTGGCTTATTTCACTTAGCATAATGCTCTCCAGCTCCATCCATGCCGTTGCAAATTGTAAGAGTTCCTTCTTTTTTACAGCAGCATAGTATTCCATCGTGTAGATGTACCACAGTTTTCTAATCCATTCATCTACTGATGGGCACTTAGGCTGTTTCCAGATCTTAGCTATGGTGAATTGTGCTGCTATGAACATATGGGTGCACATATCCTTTCTGATTGGTGTTTCTGGTTTCTTGGGATATATTCCTAGAAGTGGGATCACAGGGTCAAATGGGAGTTCCATGTTTTGTTTTTTGAGGAAACTCCATACTGTCTTCCATAGTGGCTGCACCAGTCTGCATTCCCACCAGCAGTGCACAAGTGTTCCTTTTTCTCCACATCCTCTCCAGCACTTGTCGTTTGTTGATTTGTTGATGATAGCCATTCTGACAGGTGTGAGATGGTACCTCATTGTTGTTTTGATTTGCATCTCTCGGATGATTAGTGACTTTGAGCATGTTTTCATATGTCTCTTGGCTTTCTGAATGTCCTCTTTTGAAAGGTGTCTATTTAGGTCCTTTGCCCATTTTTTGATTGGATTGTTTATCTTCCTTTTGTTAAGTTGTATGAGTTCCCTATAAATTTTGGAGATTAGGCCCTTATCAGATATGACATTGGCAAATATGTTTTCCCACGCAGTGGGTTTTCTTGTTGTTTTGTTGATGGTTTCTTTTGCTGTGCAGAAGCTTTTTATTTTGATGTAGTCCCATTTGTTCATTGATCTTAGCTTTTTAAAATATTTTATTTTTAATCCTAACCTGAGGATATTTTTTCCATTGATTTTTAGAGAGAAAAATAAAAGGGAAGGAAGAGGAAGAGAGAGAGAAAGAGAGGGGGGAAACATTGATGTGAGGGACCGGGATTGGGATCAAACCTGCAACCGAGGTACATGCCCTTAACCAGGAATCGAGAGACCCTTTAGTCTTTGGGCCAACGCTCTAACCACTGGGAAAAACTGGCCAGGGTGATTTCCTTAGCTTTTACTTTATTTTCCAAGAATCCATGAATATTTCTTTTTTAAAAATATATTTTTTTATTGATTTTTTACAGAGAGGAAGGAAGGATAGAGAGAAACATCAATGAGAGAGAAACATCCATCAGCTGCCTCCTGCACACCCCCTACTGGGGATGTGCCCGAAACCAAGGTACATGCCCTTGACCGGAATCGAACCTGGTGCCCTTCAGTCCGAAGGCCGATGCTCTATCCACCGAGCCAATATTTCTTATAGACATGTCAAATTCAACATTTAAAGAAACCTCATTTAATCATCCAATTACCCAAAAAAGAAAACATGAATTATCTTCAATGTCACCCTATCAGATTTATCAGTCTTACCTTTGATGGTCTTGGCTTCCTGATCCTCAGTTCGTTTGAGTTCTGTCATTTCTCCCAACTCTGCCGCCACCATGAGCAGTACCCTCTGAGAGTCCTTGCTTCTTATCCTTACTGCACCCCACTTTGTTCTAATATCCCCATTAGCCAGAGAAATTCCCATTAAAATTTAGGACTGATTATGTCACCTCTGCTCTAACCGCAGCGGCTTCCCCCATCATTCAAGGAAGCTAGAGTCTAGCCTACGAGCCCCTTGATTGCCCACTCCACCTGTCCCCTCCTGCTCTTCCCTCCCCACTCCACCCCAGCCACAGCCTCCAGTATTGCCTCTCTATTGTAGCAGGCACCACCCACCTGGGAGCCCTGGCTCCTGCTGTCCCCGCAGCTAGGAATCTCTGCCCTCAGTACCTACATGGCTCGTGCCCTCATCTCCTTGCCTTTGCCACTTGTCCCCCTCCCCCATTGCTCCCATCCCCTTACTTACTTTTCTCTTTAGCACTTATTACTCTCTGACTTGCTATGTAACTTATCCTTCTTGGTGACTGCCTGTCTCCTTACTAGACTAAGCCCCACAGGGAGGGGTACTCTCTGTATTTTGCTCACTGCTGTAGCTCAGTGCCTAGCACACTGGTACTCAGCAAGCACCTGCTACATGGATTATTCCAAAAGCCCCCTGGTCTCCCTGCCATCCACTCCATCCCCTGACCCATGCCTGCCTCACCTAGCGGTGAATTCCACGGGGGTAGGTGGTGCCCTGTTCACCACTGAATCCCCAGCACAGAGCCAAGTTGGTGGCGGGTGTTCCAGAGACACTGGGTTCATCAGAGAAGGCCCAGGACTATACCTAATTCACTGTGGGTTTTTAGCACCTACAGAGTGCTGACATTTGGATTCACTCAACATGCAGCAATAGTAATGGAGTGCCTACTTATACTTGCTCTTTTTTATGTAATTTATGATTTTTTGAGAGAGAGAAACATCAATTTGTTTTTCCACTTATCTATCTACGCACTCATTGGTGGCTTCTTATATGTCCCCTGACCAGAGATCCAACCCGTAACCTTGCTGTCCTGGGACAACATCCTAACCAACGGAGCCACCCAGCCAGGGCTACTTGTACTTTCCATAAAAATTATTTTTTGTTTATTTTTAATGTTGATTTAATAGAGAAGCTGACCTGAGGGAAGCCGCATATGTTGCTGCAGACTATCCTGTGTGCCTCATGGGCATGACCCCCTGACCCCTGACCTCAGGCCTGGCTGCAGCACCGAGGGGAGGCCGAGGCCCCACGGGGCTGTGCTCGAAGTCAGAGGGGTGCAGAGGGTTGTGGAGGCACGCCTGTGCAGAGGAAGCAGGCGGCCCCACTCCCCAGCAGACAAACAGAAGTGAACTCAGGGAACAGGTGAAAGTTCTGAAGCCATAATTTATTCCAAGTGCACATAGAGGGTGTGGACAGTGACCTCAGCAGAGACACACATTTCCAAGCAGGTCAAAGCCGTTCAGTCTCCCAGCCTCAGCCCCTCCCTTGCCACCTCTCTGGCCTGAGCTGGGGCAGGGGAGAGCCTCCTAGTTCCCAAACAAAACACAGGAACCTAAGGGCTCAGGGAGGATCCCACAGCCTTATCTTTATTAGTATCTAGCAAGAAAAAATCAAAAGTCCCTCCCTGCTCCAACCAACCCCACCTCCACCCGGTGGGTCCTCAGGGAGCAGTGTCTGCCTGGGGAACGCCGCTGCCAGAGCTGTCCTTGGAGCCTGGGCCTCTGTGCATGGCCACCCGGGGCCTGCAAGCTGACCACAGGCCCACTCCTCCACACGTGGGGACGGAAGGGCAGCTGGCACTTCCCCAGCCCTCAGCTGTCAGCCTTGGACACTTTGAAAAGATCAGCGATGTCCAGCAGAGCTTGGCGGATGTGGTTCCCAAAGCGCTGGGCGTTCTGTGGGAGCCAAGACTCAGACCCAGCTCCAGGCGAGTCCCTGCCCTCTGTCCCCACCAAAGAGGACTCTCCCTAGCCAGGCAGGGCCCAGGGTGGTGCCCCCTCCTCAGGGCTGAGTGGGAGCAGGAGACTCACCGTCTCTGAGCTGGAGAACTTGCTGGAGATGTGGAAGAAGATGGTGTTCTCACCCGCGATCATGTAGGAAACCCCATAGCCGTCATCCGCCACCTGAGGCAGCACCCGGATGAAGAAGAGGTAAGCTAGACTGGAGCATCCGAGGCCGAGCTGAGGCTGCCTGGGAATCCCCACAAGATTCCCAGGAGGGGCCCCACACCAGATGCTGCATTTTCACTTTTCCTGAGGTCAGGACCACACTTAGGAAACAGTGTGAAAACCAAAGAGCTTCCCCTCCCTCCCCCAACCCCCCATCCAGGATCTCAGCTTCCCTCAAGAGGCTCCAGGTCACCGCCTCACTCCGGGGGTGTCTCTGGAACCCTGACTGACTAGCCCAGTGAGCGTCTCAGTGGAGAGCTGTACGCAGAAGGGAAGCCGGCCTGGCTCGGACCTGCTCCAGAGGGGTCTCAGGCACCTGTTTCCACGCAGGGCAGGGCCACGGCTGTGTTCCTGATCTGGTCTGACCTTGAGGCCCTGCAATCCCCACTGAAACCCCTGGGCCCCGTCCTATCTACTCATCCCCCTTCAAAGTCACTTACCGGGCCAAAGCCGCCACCAGCGCCCAGATGATTGGGGTACTTTTTGGGGTCAAACATGCCAATCTGGAATTGAGCAGTCTGGCTGGTGGAGAGGCGCCAGGGTTCAGAGAGCACCTGCAACGGGAGGCTGCAGCCTTAGAGACCTGTGCTCAGTGCACACCTGCTGACAGGTGGTGTCTGAGCACCTGCAGGAGCCAGGCACTGTCCTGGCTGAGAAAGCAGGAGGAACACGGTGCAGGACCTCCCTGACCGCTGCCCCACCCGCCCCTCTGCCTCCCCTCCTCCACCTGTTCCTCCATCAGCTCCGCCCTCCCCTCCCGCTGTCTGGACGCTGGAAGTCCCTTCCACAGGAACGTGCTGCCAGCTTGATTCCCCCAGGCTTCTTCACTTTCCTCAGGGGCACCCGTCACCCCTGACATGCTACACGTTTGTCTGTCCATCCCCCTCACAACAACACCAACTCCATGCTCAGTGCCAGGACCACAGGCCTGGGAGGTGTGGGACGGGAAGCCTGGCCCAGCCCTCCAGGAGGCCTTGGGGACAGGGGACACACCCATCAACAGAACTGACCTCAGCCAGGAAAGGGGAGCTGACCCCCAGGTACTTGGAGACCACGTACAGGCAGAAGAGGTGCCTGTCGATGCCAGCCCCCGTCATGGCCAGGCGGTACAAGTTCTGGTGCTTCTCTGAGGCTTTCCGGAAGAGATTCTGGAGGTCTGCTTTCTGAGGGGCAGAAGGGAAGCAGTGAGCAGCCCTGATCCTCTAGGCAGCATGAGGCAGAGGTGGGGGGTGTCACCTCACTGTGTGGCCAGGGGGGCTCACCGTGTGGGACCCCTGCACCATGGCCTTGACGAAGGCCGTGGACTCGTTGGTGCAGGAACGAACAGTCTCGGTCCGTCCTTCCCGGAACAGTCTGGTCATCGAAGCTTCATAGGTCAGGCAGAACTTGCCCTTGTCCTGGGAAACACGGAGGGGTGAGCCTAGCAGGTTGAGCCCGGCGCTGCCTGCACGGTGCCAGCCCGAGGGCCCCTACCCGGAAGTGAGCCAGCTGCAGGGCGATCTGCACGAAGGCATCGGGACTGGTCCGGCACTTCTTGATGAGGCCTTTGCCGAAGGGGAAGAACTGGAAGCAGTACAGCTCCACGTCGTCGGCCAGCGCCTTGGCCACCTGGTAGGAGCTCTCAATGGCCGCCTGGCACTGCGGAGACACAGGAGGGTCAGGAGGCTGTGCTGGGCGGTCTCAGGGCTCTCAACACCTTCGGGGGTTGAGAGGTACTGACACGTGCCCCGTGAACACCAGGCTCATCCCTCACAGCTTCTCTAACCACCACTGGCCCCGGATGTCCGTTCACCCTGTGGCCAATCTGGACTGGAGAGCTCTGCCACACCCACCGGGGCTGGGCTGGAGGGGAGGGGGCCGCAGAGCATCCAGGTACTTGTCACTCTCCCATGCCTGTCCCCATCCCTTCTGGGCCTACGCACCCGCTCAGGAATGTCCCACTGCAGCCGCTGAGGCGGCGTCAGTGTGAGGTTTGGTTTGCCCACGCAGTGCCCAGTCTCCGTGTAGCCCAGGTGGAAGATGTCAGTGCCCAGAGCAAACTGCAGGGAGAAGGTCGGGCTCAGAGCCGTCCTCGTCCCCCGCTCTCCCCCACAGCCTGCCCCACAGGACTCCTCTCTGGCCTGTTACCTCCCAGAGGTGCCCCATGACAGGGGCGTCTGCCCACGAGTGTTCCGTGTTGAGGCCCAACTGGGCATTCTTGAAGGCCACAAGGGTGAAGGACTTGTCGAACCACCTGCGGGAACAGCAGATGCGGTGATGACAGAGGCTGGGGGAGGCTTGGTGGCAGCGGGAAGGGGCTGTACCTGTTGTAGCAGTTGCCGTGCAGCAGGGCCTTGCCGTAGAGACTGAGGCTGGCCTCGTTGTCGGGGTCATAGCTGTGAGACTCCTCATCCAAGACCACAAAGAAGGCGGCGCGCTCAATGGCATCCAGAGCAGCCCTGTTCTTGCCGGAGCTGAAGAAGGTCTGGCGCGCCTGTGCCCACTCCACTCTGGGGTGTGAGAGCAGGGTGAGTACAGGGCCAGTCGGGCCAAGGACGAGGGCACCACCCAGGACCTGGCTGGACCTGGAGCTGAGCATGGTGGGCTGCCAGGCTGTCCCAGAAGGTGTCCCTGCCCCCTATGCAACCCCCTCGCTGCCCCCCAGTTAGAGGTTATGGCAGCCACGCCGCTGCCATTGCCACCAATGCCCTCACCACTGCGGGCGCAGTTTGCACAGAGGATGCTGTGCCTGGCGCGCCTCTTCCTCGGTCATGCCTCTGGCTCCAAGTCCTGGGGTGGGGCCACTCAGGCCACAGACAGGGTACCGCCCGCCCCGGACCTGGCTGTGGCTGAGCCAAGCCCCTCTCCCCAGGAAGACATGCCACTGGGATACCTTCCGCCGGCAGTGAGGGCCGCCAGCCGCTCCTCCCCGGGCTGGGGCGGGGAGGGGTCATCCAGGATCCTCTGGAACTGCAGCTCCAGGTCCCGGGGCTTGAGCAGGTTGGAGCCCTTGAGCAGGTTGGAGCCCTCGTAGAGCCACACCTTGAAAAAGCGGCCCTTGTGGTAGACGGCCACGTGCCTGCTTTCGTTGAAGTGCTGCAGCACGTCTGTGACAGAGCCAGGGCGTGGGCAGGGAGCACCTCCCTGCCGGCAGCCCTGGGTGGGGCCCACCCGCCATGAGCCTTCCGTGGCCCATGTGGCTCCTGCTGAGCCAGGCCTCTGTCTGGGCCTCCCTCCCTCCCTCCACCAGGGCCTGTGCTGGCTGCTCCCATGCTTTTCGTTTATGCCAACAACAGTCCTCAGAGGCATTTCACAGAAGAGGAAACAACACAGACTCCCAGTGTCAGAAGCGCAGGCTGCTGCTCCTGTCCCCGCCGAACCCCGCGAGCTGCCCTCCCTGTCAGTCAAGGGCAGCAGCACCCCTTCGGGTGCTCCTCACTCAGGAGGCCTGCCCTGCACGGGAGCCCCGCAGCGGGGACTCGGGGTCCCAGCACCGGCGTCATGCCTGTAAGCAGCAGGCGGCTCGTTTTGGTAAAAAAACTGGCCATCTTGACAGTTACACCCCGAGACAGCGGGGGTGCTGGTGACAAGCAGGTGGCAGGACCTAGCCGTGGCGGCCCATAGCCGGGAGGGAAGGGGCTCTGCTCTCCCTGACGGCCTCACCACAGACGCTGTGGCCATACCTGTCTCCTTGCCCGGGATCCGCGTGGTGTTGAACATCCTCTCCATCTGGTTGGAGCACATGGGCACGATGCCCAGTGCCATCACCTAGGCGGGAGGCACAGCATGGCTAAGACAGGGCCTCCTCTCCCTTCCGCCCTCGACCCCAACGCAACTCACAGGCTTGATGTCCTCGCGGTCCAGCTTGCGGCGGTATGTGATCATGGCGTGAACGATGTTTCCCAGGCGGGCAGCCTGCACGTCCGTGTTCTTGATGAGCACAAAGTCCTGCGAGAGAGAGCCGAGGCTGCAGGGCAGGGGCAGCGTGACAGGTGCGCGGTGCCACCTGGTTTCCCTGCTCGTGGCCTGAGGGATCTGTCCCTTTTCCCCAGTCCGTCCTGTGCTCACTGTCAGGTGAGCCTGCCAAAGATGGGATGCCCACCTGACCCCGTCACTCCTCGGCCCCAGCTCTGACCTGAGCTGCTTTCCATAACCTATTTGCTTGTGTTTTGTTTAGTTTGCCTTGAGAAAGGGGTTCCCACCACTAAAAACAAAACAAAACAAAAAATAAACAGCTTAAAACCTCAGGTACAGATGAGTTGTGTGTGAGTTTCTGGGAGGACAGGTGTGGGGAGGAAGGGAAGGACAGCATGCGACTCAGAACGAGCTGTGGCCTAGCCTGTGTGGCTCAGCGGTTGAGCATCATCCCATTCACCAAGAGGTCACAGGTTTGATTCCTGGTCAGGGCATGGGTTGCGGGCTCGATTCCCAGAAGCGGGTGTGCAGGAGGCAGCCTATTGATGTTGATGTTTCTCTCTCATCTAAGTTTCTATCTGTCTCTCCCTCTCCCTTCCTCTCTAAAACCAATAAAAACATATTTTTAGAAAGTGAGCTCTGGACAGTGGGAGACCACTGAGGGCACACGGCTGTGTGATCTGTGCTGTGCACAGGCCGGTGCTGGGGTGGGACAAGGGCCAGTCATGCAACATAGGGGCCAATGTGGCCTCCCAAGTGCTGAGAGCAGCAGCTCTGGATCCACAGATGCCACGCAAGCCTGTCCAAGGGACTCCCTGGTAATGGCACCATGGCCAGGAGGCCACTGAGGGAACCCAGGAAGGAAGTGACGGCGCCTGGGCTGGACAGCGAAGTGAGCCCGAGGGACCCTGCGAGGGGCTACTGGATTCTCCAGACCCTCAGTATCCCATCGCCCCTCAGTTGCTTCCTGACTATTCTCCGAGGGCCTCCCCCATCTTCCCTTTCCTTCAGGCCTCACCCCAGAATCCCCCCTTGTCTGTGGAAAGGGCCACCAGGGCTCAGGACACGTGGCTACCTCTTACCATCGCATAATAGTTGCTGTTCACCATGAGGGGATTCCTGCCTCGAAGGTAGATGTATTCTTCCCACCAGTCACTCACCTGCGGGTGGGTGCGAGGTTAGGGCTGGGGTAGAGAGCAGGGTGCAGGCAGCCAGGATATGAAGGGGGTGAGGGTAAGCCCAGAAGGGGACTCACATAGTTAGTTGCCCACCACGACTTGAGTACCAGGTACTTCTGCAGCCTGGGGGCAGTCTTGTCCTGGAATTCCTTGGCTAGTATCTCCATGCGCTGATACTTCTTGTCATCCAACAAGGGCCGCACAGACTCCAGATACTATCGAGCCAGGTTACTGTCAGTGTGGGGGCCAGACAGCAGTGGCTGCTTCTGTCCCAACCCTGTTCTGACCCAGCCCCAAATCCACTCTTTGAAGGGGACAAATCCGAGTCCAGCCTACCCTGCCCACCATGATGCCTGACACAGGCCCTTACCCGTTGAATGGTGGCTTGCACGCTGGGCACGGGAAGCTTGGGCAGGGACGTCTGAAAGCTGTACAGCATGGGCCGCCCACTGGACAGAAGGCGGACACAGGCCTGGGGGTGCAGAGCAGAGTGTGTTGGGCTGGGAACCAGGGGACAGAATGGAAACAAACTAGCCAACACCTGAGGAGCTGAGTCCCAAGCTCTCAGAACTAGGACAAACCCACGTGCAGGCACCGGTGCCCCCTGCCTGTCCCCTCCAGCTCAGGACCCCAAAGGGGGCGCCCAGGTCTCAGACCAGATGCCTGAAGCCCTCCACCACTTCTGCTCACCGCCCAGACTTTGGTGCTGCGGCTGGTCTGGCCATGCATCTCAAACATCCACCCATGGTAGGAGAGCAGCAGCTTCAGGGTTTGGCGGAAGAAGAAGATGCCCACGATCCAGACCCCCGTGGAGAAGATGGCCATGCTGACCAGTGCCCGTGTCTGTGGGGTCTGGTAGGGGACATACCTGTCGGAGGAGGGGAGAGGGGAAAGGGCTACAGGGGGTGCACGGAGGCCAGCCTCAGGGGAATTCTAACCCTGCACCCTCCACCGCTGTGAACCATTTCGGGGGAGGCACCTTCCTGGGCACACTCACAACTAAGTGCAACACACACACACACACACACACACACACGGACTAGGGACTGAGATGATGGTGGCCCAGGGGAGGGCTGCTCCTACAGCCTCTAGTGGCTATTGCCCTGTGCCTGCCCAGCTGAGGAACCCTGGCTTTGAGGCTCACCCAGCCTCTTTTGTGGCCCTGTTCCTCACCTCTCGGGGAGGTGTTTCTGGATGTAATAGACCAGCCCGTTGGAGATGTCCACATTGCAGTAGGAAGAACCCACTGTTGCCATGACGACAGCCAGCCAGCTGGTAGGGCTGCCAGGATACACACCCCTAAGGATGCCATTCTGTGGAGCAGAAACAAGCAAGCACCTGTGAGGTCCTGGTCTTCGCCTGGGTTTTCTCCTTTGGTCACCTGCTGTGTTCTTACTACTTCACGCCTGGTTTTCCCCTCCTCCACACCCCCATACCTGCAGCACCCAGTTACTCAGCGCCTGATGCCACTTCTTGCACACCTGTCTCCCCTCCACACCTTGAGCACACCTCTGGTTTCTGCACTGCTAGAGCCTGTTCCTCAGCAGAACTGCCAGCCAAGCTTGGGGTGGAGGACCTTGACAATAGAGCAGCAGCTGACACCTGGCCCCGCCTCTACAAGGCTCTGTTCTGCACCTGCTGGCAGGAATAGGCCAGGAGACCACCTGGGCGCACCTTGATGCGAATCAGGCGTTTCTTCCAGGCGTTGATCTCAGTCAGGTAGAGGTGTTTCAGCGCCTCCCGACTGAGCCGGAAGTCGAACCCATCTGGGGTCACAGTGAACTGGAAGGCCACAGCCTGGTGCGCTTCCGCCATCCTGGGGGTTGGGTGGCACCTGGGAGGGAGCAGAAAGGTGTTCGGGTGGGCTCA